AGCTGGGATTACAGGCACATGCCACCATGCCCAGCTGAATTTTTGTATTTTTTAGTAGAGACGGGGTTTCACCATGTTGACCAGTATGGTCTCGATCTCTTGACCTCGTGATCCACCCGTCTCGGCCTCCCAAAGTGCTGGGATTACAGGCGTGAGCCACCGTGCCCGGCCTAATTTTTCATTTTCTGTCTAATGAGAGAATCAGAGTACAGTCATGTGTCATTTAACAACAGGGATACATTCTGAGAAATGCGTTGTTAGGCGATTTCCTCATTGTATGAACATCAGAGTGTGTGCTTATCTAAACCGAGATAGTATAGCCTGTTACAAACCTTGGCTTTATGGTATGCCTATTGCTCTTGGGCTATAAACCTCTACAGCATGTTGCTGTACTAAATACTGTGGGCAATTGTTACCCAATGGTATTTGTGTATCTAAACATATCTAAACATAGAAAAGGTATAGTAAAAAAATGCTATAAAAGATAAAAAATGGTACACCTGTATGAGTCAGCTTTATTATAAACTTATGGGACCCCCCCCCCCTTGTATATGTGGTCTGTCCTTGACTGAAATGTTATGTGGCACATGACTGTTATTGATTGTTAAATTCCCTTTCAGCTGTAGTATCACATGATTGTGTGACTTGTTTTCTTTTTATTGGAAGAAGGTTAGGGAAAGCTGGTGAGTTTTTTTTTTTTTTTTTTTGAGACAGAGTTTCACTCTTGTTGCTCACGCTGGAGTGCAATGGCATGATCTTGGGTCACTGCAACCTCCACCTCCCGGGTTCAGGGAATTCTTCTGCCTCAGCCTCTGGAGTGGCTGAGATTATAGGTACCCACCACCATGCCCAGCTAATTTTTGTATTTTTAGTAGAGACAGGGTTTTGCCATGTTGACCAGTCTGGTCTTGAACTCCTGACCTTGGGTGATCCACCCACCTTGGCCTCCCAAAGTGCTGGGATAACACATGTGAGCCACTATGCCTGGCCCAGGGAAAGCTTATATATGTTGAACTATTTCAGTTTGCCATGAACTTTTAAATACAATTTGGACTTCTATGGTTAGTTCAGTGCTAAGTGACTAGAACTTGAGCTCCTGTCTTGAAATTTAGGTCCTTTGTCCTTAGGTGGGGCAGTTATCTCTGCCACTTGGTTTCTCATCCCCAAGATGAGGAGACTGAATTCAGTCTGAAGGCTGCTCACAGCCCCTTCCAGAAGTTCTTGCTGTCTTTCAGGTATGGCGACTACCCAAAGCTCCCTGACCGCTCACAGCATGAGAGGGATCCATGGTATGACTGGGACCAACCAGACCTGAGGTTGAACTGGGGTGAAACGGTAAGAAAGACTGTATCTCATTTGACCTTTCTTCTCCCTTTATCTTCTTGGAGATACTTTAGCTCAGATGGCACTTCTTCGACTAAATAACACTAAGCTTTTCTGCTCAAGGAGGCAAGGTCCAGTGATGTGAGATCTGAGATTGCATGTGGCACACTGAATGGGATGTCTGGGAATAATGAAAGCTCTGTATTGTGAAAGTTGTGTACTTCCATGATTGAGCTGACCCTATTCAGCAGAACCTAGGCAGAGGCCAGCATCCAATCCTGTGGGGCAGTGTGCCTCAGAATATTGCGCTAGGGCAGTAGAATGCTTCTATCTAGCCTTGTAACGGGATCTGATCACTCTGGGGTTGCCTGCATTTTGCAGGAAGAGTAGTATGTGACAATTATTTGTCTTTCTGCCTCAGATGCACTGGCATATAGACATGTATACCAGGAACCGTGTGGATACGTCCCCCACACCTCTTTCTTGGGATGACATGTGTAAGCAGCTCATCAGCTTTGTGGCTTTCATGACGTTCATGTTCTGGGTAGGGCATAAGTACCCTGTCTACCAGCCTGTGGTGAGTATCTGAGAAGTGCTCCCTTAGGCACATTTGCTCAGCCCCATTTCCTGAGGGAGTAAAGTCTCTGGGGTAGGAATCCAATCAATACCAAGCTTGGCTTCCCGGAGTCTTAGGAGATAGGAAGATAGGAGGGCCTTACCCAGCGGAGCACTCCTCCATCCCTACTTCTTGGACCAGTGTGAGTGAGTGAAACACTTTAAGACTAGATGAACAACTAGTGTGTGGAAACGAGCTGGTCTCCAGAGTTGCCATTTGGGGATTATATTTACTAACAATATTTCATTAAGTGACCTTTCGCAATAGAGTTAAGGAATCTTGAGCTGAAATCTTATCCTTTGTTAGACAATGTGAAGGGCACTTCCTGTAATATACTGGAAGCAATTAAGTGTCTACTAGAGGCATAGACTTATATTGTGGAGAATGTAAACGACATAGTGATTTCTCTAGCTTTCAGGAAGTTTAAGAAAATTTAGGTAAGTGACATGAACAACATTTGAACAGATACATGGGAATTCTGCACAATTTATGTGTATATATGTTTATAGTGAATGTATATACTTAGCAGTATGAGTTACTGTCAAGGAGAAGGGTTAGCTAGAGCTAATACACAAAAAAAGGCTTTGGGTGGTGGGAAGTTGGAGAAAACATTTGGGGCAAGAGAAAACAATGAAGGAGGCCAGGCATGGTGGCTCATGACTGTAATCCCAGCACTTTGGGAGGCTGAGGCGGGCGGATGGCTTGAGCTCAGGAGTTCGAGACCAGACTGGGCAGCATGATGAAACCCTGTCTCTACAAAATATACAAAAATATTAGCCGGGCTTGGTGGTGCGCACCTGTAATCCCAGCTACTTGGGAGGCTGAGGCACAGGAATTCTTTGAACTCACTCGGTAGGCAGAGGTTGCAGTTAGCTGAAATCATACTACTGCCCTCCAGCCTGGGGGAGAGACTGCAAGACTCTTGAAAAAAGAAAGAAAGAAAACAAGGAAAAGGAGAGTGAGTCAGCTAGAGTAAAATAGATGTGTAAGATAGTTCCCAGATAACCAGCTGCATTGGTTTCCTGGAGACCTGCTAAAAATTCAGATTCCCAGGCCCCACTTCTCAGTGTTCCTCATTCAGAAACATCACAGTAGGGCTCTAGAAGCAATATTTTTGACAAGCTCCCAGGTAATTCTGATGTGCATCTAGATTTGGGAATTACTGTGTTAAAAAATATTGTAAGGTGAGTTGATCAATTAGTTTGGACAGCTTTTATTTCATTGCTAAGGGATTTGGACTTGGTGGTGTAATAAAGCATTAATTCAACAAATATTTATGGAGCTTCTACTATGTACCAGGTGCAGACCCTGCTAGCGGTTGGGGATACAATGATGACTTGGTCTGTCACTAGGTGGCAGGGAGCCATTGTGGGTTTTCGAACAGAAGAGTGACATAATGAATGCTGAGTTCTTAGGAAGATTAATCGGGGAGTAGTCTCCAGGATGTATTGGAAGGAGAGTGGCTGAAAGCAGGGAGGCTGCTGTGTTTGCAGTTGGCTGCCCAGTGCTACCTCTGCAGAGACAGTCAATGTCCTGGAGGTAGCTGGGATGTCTGTGTGCACTGACACGAGCCTTCCCACCAAGCCCCAGGGGCTCCATGCTGGAGAATGCACGTAGGGCTGGGGTGAGCACTAACTTTACTTCAGAAGAGCAAGAAACAGTGTGGCTCTTCCATTTTTCAGTTCTGTAAGCACATCACCCTTTTCTCCTCCCCTTGAGCTGTGTTCTCTGACAGCTGTTTGTTGGTAAAGCCAGCAGCCCCTAAAGCACGTCCCAGCCTTGTCTCCTCTGTGCTTTCCCCCACTACTGCTCCTGCACGCCTCATTTGCTGGGCCACTTTAGTGGTGGAGCCATTAGAGGCTGAGTGACTTAAAGGAGATTGAGTCTGTCTCGACCCCGAGAGAGAGTGGGATGGATGGATGCATCGTCTCATTTAGAAAGCGTTGCCTCTGATTCTGACACTCTCTCTTTCTTTACCTCCCTCCCTCTCTTCCCCCCTTCCCCTCCCTTCCCTCTCCCCCTTCCCTCCCCCTTTCTCCTTCTCCCTCAGTGTAGGCACCACTTCTCTTACAGTTTAGGCTTTCTCTCTGCCTTGGGCTTAGTGGGGAAGAGGAGTGCTGTTCCTGTCATCCTAGCCCAGCTGGGTCTGACCAGAGGCTACTGTGTACCCATTTACCATGCATGACAGTTAACTCAGAGTGGGGTGTAGCCAGGAATTGACGAAAGAATGTATGTTCTTGCTGACCTGTGTTTTTTCCTTAGGCACCAAAGCAGTATCCTTACAATGATCTGTACTTGGAACGAGGTGGCGATCCCTCCAAAGAACCCAAGCCGGTGGTTCACTATGAGATCTGAGGAGGCTTCATGGGCTTTTGTGCCCTCTAACTAGGACTCCCTCATTCCTAGAAATTTAACCTTAATGAAATCCCTAATAAAACTCAGTACTGTGGTGTTTGTGCCTCATTTCCCCAGGAATATTCACTACCCTGAGGAACCTCATCCTTTTCCCTTTTTTTCTGCTTGATCTCTGCCCTCTTCCCTTTTTTCTTATTATGAAATTTAAAGGATAGGAGGGTGGGGTGGATGGGTGCTTAAGCACAAGATGTGAATTTGTTAATTTCACTTGGGCTGTGAAGGTACTTATGGGTTTTAGCTGTGTGGCAGGTGTTAAGGGTCACTCCTTTTCCCATTTACAGGGTCAAGGAAGAAATGTTCCTGACTTCCCAAGTTGGAACAACATTTATTTCCCATAAAAAAACCTTTCTAGGCCGGGTGCAGTAGCGCACGCATATAGTCCCAACACTTTGAGGGAGGCTGAGGCAGGAGGACTGCTTGAAGCTCAGGACTTGGAGAGCAGCCTGGGCAACATGATGAGACCCCACCTCTGCAAAAAAAAATTTTTTTTTCCAAAAAATTAGCTAGGCACAGCAATATGCACATGTGGTCCCAGCTATGCAGAAGGCTGAGGTGGGAGGATCACTTGAGCCCAGGAGGGTGAAGCGAGCCATGTTTGCAACACCGTTCCAGCATGGACAACACAGCAAGACCCTGTCTTGAAAAATGCGGCATGGCGTGGTGTCTCTTGCCTATAATCCCAGCACTTTGGGAGGCTGAGGCAGGTGAATCACTTGAGGCCAGGAGTTCAAGAATAGCCTGACCAACATAGCAAAACCCCATTTCTACTAAAAATAGAAAACATTAGCCGAGCTTGGTGGTAAATGCTTATAATCCCAGCTACTCCGGAGGCTGAGGCAGGAGAATCGCTTAAACCCAGGAGGTAGAGGTTGCAGTGAGATGGTTGCCACTGTAATTCAGCCCGGGCAACAGAGCAAGACTGCCTAAAAAACAAAAGCCTCCTTAATAATAGTGGTTAGTTGGAAAAAGTTGTGCTCTAAGGTGTTTCAAATATGTTACAGGATTAATAGGGGTTTTTTTGTCCTGTCTGCCTAAGGCTGGGACTGCCTCTAATCTTATTTCCGTTATAAGAATATTTCTTATTCCAGAGTAGCTTCTGAATCATAATATCTTAATAAATTTACATTACCGGTATTTTATGAATTAGAGGACAGTTCAGTGAGTTACTGTTGAACATATTCATAGCTTTCATTACTTTTAATGACATCCACACGCCTATAACAGCCTTAGAGGAAAACTATGTTTTTGAGAGTCTAACTCATGCATCTGTTTTTTTGTTTTGTTTAGAGATAGGGTCTTCCTCTGTTCCCCAGGCTGAAGTGCGGTAGCACAATCAGCTCCCTGTAACCTCAAACTCCTGGGCTCAAGGGATCTTCCTTGCTCAGCCTCCCTAGTAGTTAGGACTACTGGTACAAGACCCGATACAAAACCTATCTTATTTTTTGTTGAAATGGGATCTTGCTATGTTGCCCAGCCTGGCTCAAACTCCTGACCTCAAGCAATCCTGCCTCAGCCTCCTAAAGCACTGGGAATACTGGCAGGAGCCACTGTACCTGGCCCTCATGCATCTAATTTTTTTTTTTCTTTTGGGACAGAGTTTCACTCTTGTCGCCCAGGGTGGAGTGCAATGGTGCAGTCTCAGCTCACTGCAACCTCCACCTTACAAGTTCAAGCGATTCTGCCTCAGCCTTCCAAGTAGCTGGGATCACAGGTGTGTGCCACCGCACCTGGCTAATTTTTGTATATATTTAGTAGAAATAGGGTTTCACCGTGTTGGCCAGGCTGGTCTCAAACTCCTGACCTCAGGTAAACCACCCGCCTCAGCCTTCCAAAATGCTGGGATTACAAGCGTGAGCCACTGCACCTGGCCCCCACTGGCTTTTTAGCTGTTTTCATTCTCTATAGCATTAATAATTTCCTTAACAAACATCTGTGTGTCTAATATGTATCAAACACAGATAGGCCCTGGAGATATAAAACTGAGCAAGACAAAGTAATCACCTTCAAATAGTTACATAGCAGACCAGCAGTTATAATACAAGGTGAAAATAATTATCATTAATATTGAGACACGGTCTCACTGTTGCCCAGGCTGCAGTGTAGTGATGTGATCATGGCTCACTGCAGTCACTGCAGCGTCTACGTCCCAGACCCAAGCAGTCCTCTCACCATAGCCTCCCAAGCAGCTGGGACCACAGGCATGCACCACCTGGCTAATTTTTATATTTTTTGTAGGCACAATTTCACCATATTGCTCAGGCTGGTCTTGAACGTCTGGGCTCAAGCAATCCATCTGCCTTGGCCTCCCAAAGTGTTGGGATTATGGGTGTGAGCCACTATGCCAGGCCAAAAAGAAGTATTTTTTTTTTTTTTTTTTTTTTTGAGACAAGGTCTCACTCTGTCTCCCAGGCTGGAGTGCAGTGGCGTGATTTCAGCTCACTGCAACCTCCGCCTCCCGGGTTCAAGCGATTCTCATGCCTCTGCCTCCCAAGTAGCTGGGACTACAGGCATGCACCACTATGCCTAATTTTTGTATTTTTGGTAGTGATGGGGTTTCAGCATGTTGGCCAGGCTGGTCTCAAACTCCTGACCTCAGGTGATACACCCACCAAGGCCTCCTAAAGTGCTGGGATTACAGGTGTAAGCCACCGTCCCCAGCCTGTCTACAGGACATTTTTATCTGGAAGGGGCGCAATTTCTTCAACATAAAAAATACGTGATCTTTTCACGGCCCCCACCTCACCTGAAGTTCTCTAGCTCTATTTTTTTTTTTTTTTTTTTTTTTTTTTTGGAAATGGAGTCTCGCTCTGTAGCCCAGGCTGGAGTGCAGTTGCATAATCTCGTCTCGCTGCAACCTCCGCCTCCCCGTCCTGGTTCAAGCAATTCTCCTGCCTCAGCCTCCCAAGTAGCTGGGATTACAGGCACGAGCCACCATGCCCAGCTAATTTTTGTTTTTAGTAGAGACGGGGTTTTACCATGTTGGCTAGTCTGGTCTTAAATTCCAGACCTGGTGATCTGCCCACCTTGGCCTCCCAAAGTGCTGGATTACAGGCGTGAGCCACTGCGCCCGCCCGTTCTCTGGCTCTAGTAAGAGTACCATAGTTTTTCTAGTCTACCAGGCTCTGAAGCCTTTATCAGCCAGGAGAGCCTGTCCAGCTCTCCTTTACAATAATCACTATGTTAATCCAGGCTTTCATCACCTGGTACGTGGATTGTTCCATTAGTCTCCTAATTTGAGTCCCTGCCTCCAGCTCTGCAGGGGTTCCATATTGCTAGACCCAAAATACAATATATAGATATGATATGGATATAGATGATATAGATTGACTGATTGAGACGGAGTTTCGCTCTTGTTGCCCAGGCTGGAGAGCAATGGCGCTATCTCGGCACACAACAACCTCCGCCTCCCGGGGTCAAGCGATTCTCCTGCTTCAGCCTCCCAAGTAGCTGGGATTACAGGCCTGCACCACCACGCCCGGCCAATATTCTTTATCTTACTGCATCCTACCCTGTAATTTTCAGTAACTCTCACTTATCTGCAGAATTGAATTGGAACTCCACAATCCGCATACAATCCCCTCCTGTCTCTGTTTCATTCACGGTATGGAAAATTCCAGGGTGCCTATTGGCCGGTTTGGCTTCTTCCTCCTTGCTGGAATATCACCTGTGTTCTTGCAGCTCCAAAGGATAACAACCCTCCTATGATCCTGAACTATTTCAGGAAGCCCCTGGCCCTGTAGTCTCACCCCACACACACTTAGAGCCCTTAATTCAACCAAGTTTTTGGGCACCAGTTTCTGCTGGGCTGCAGGGCATCAATTTACCTTTTCAACTCAATGGATTCCACTCCTGGGCCTAGGGCCGGGTCTTCTCCCTGGCTGAAACTCAATAGACCGGAGCTTACTGGACCGGATCTGACCCACTGCGCAAATCACAGGGCAGGTGAGGGAGACCCGGTTAAAAGCTATAATCCCGTTTGGAAACGTTCTCCCGGGTCTGTCCTGGTCTTGGGCTCGGCGCCCGCGGAGCCTGTCTACGACGGAGCCCTACCGGGTCCGCGCCGCTTTTGGCCCTCCGCAGCCGCCGTCCACAGCGCCCGGCTCCGCGCGAGAGGACCCACTCCGGCCGCCGGGCCTGACCCCTCCCCGGGGTCCTCCGCACAGGTTGGTTCGCCCCGCGGGTTTGGGGTCCCTGGGAGCAGAGATTGCGCTGAGACCCGGATTCCTGATCCTTCCTCGGCAGAGCGCCGAGGGGAGCCGGCTCGCGGCGGAGACCCCGATCCGCGCCTGCCCTGCCCGCGGGTTGAGGCCCCCGGCGGAGACCCCGACCCGCGCCTGCCCTGCCCGCGGGTCCTGCCCCCGGGGGCCTCCGCTGCGCCTGCTCTTGAGTTGGATCCGGCTCTGCTGTCCCTGCCGCACGGGAGCCCCCAGCCCGACGCGGGTCTCCCTATTCAGCGCTGCCCTCGCGCCTTCCCGTCCGCCTCGGTCCTGACCTGGCCCGCCGGGTGTCGCTGCATTTCGGCCGGGCGGGAAGGCCTGTCGTTGCTGACCCTGGCGCGCCGGGCTTCGGCGACCGCGGGGAAGAAGCTGTGCTGACCGTCCTCCCTAGGGGCTGGACTGCCAAGGGTAGCTGGTGCCCTTCTGCACGTCAGGTCTGTCCAGCATTTCCTTGGTTATCTCCCCCTCACGCCCCCATGGCCAGTCTGACCCCGGCAGGGGCCCTTTTTGTAACAGATGCCTCTGAACAATGTGAATTAAGAGCCCATTTTCCCAATTCCTAGACTGTCAGCGATTTAAACACTTTCTGGTTTACTTTGGACTAGTACAGTGGTTAGAAATACGGGCTCTTGAGGCTGATGGAGGTTCACATCCTGGCCTAGCCAGTTGTCATCTCTGGAAAGTGGGGATAATCGTAGTACTTGCTTACCTAATAGGACCATTGAGAGAATTAAATGAGATATGCACGTCAAATGCACAGCTCCTTATCATAGCTCCGGTTTTTATTAGGGGCTTTCCCCAGAATCCTGAAAATGATTGTGACCAGCAGGTGGCACTAGTGACTGTATAGCAGAGTGTTGAGCTGGTCGCAGGATACCCGATGGTAGCCACCAGTGATTAAAGGTCCCTTGGAAATCTTGGCTTAACGGGCAACCTTAAACTTTCTTCAAGCTGGAAAGTACATTAGAGATTAAGTAATACTCTCTCCTGTTTTTGTAGGTGAGACTGATCTGACTAGCTTATTCAAGCAGGTCACAGTAGGTTCCAGGCTTTCTCAACTTCAGTGTAATTTTTTAAAAAATCCTTTCTACCTCTTTGCTAGCCTGTTGGGATGGGACCTTGAACAAACAATAGAATTAGATCAGAAACCACAGAGTTAAAATGGATGTCTACATTCGAGTTCTTACCATATGCCAAAGGTTCGTTTGGAAACTAGTTACAACGTGGTGAACAAAAGCAGACACAGTGCCAGCTCTCATGGAGCTTCCATATTAGTGGAAGAGACCGACAATGTAAATGTAAATAAATACGTAATTATAAATTGCTAGGAAGAAAAAAATTGAGACTGTTTGTGATTGGGTAGTTCACTTATCTGGGGAAGTGAGAAGCTGAGCCCAGAAAGAGATAAGGAGCCAGTCATGTAGAAAGTGAAGGGAAGAGCATTCAGAGTATAGGGAACAGCATTTGCAAAGGCTCTAAGGAAGGAAAATCTCAGGAAATTAAAGGCTATTGTGGCTAAGCACAATGAATAAGGAGAAGAATCAAAAGATGAAGTGGTAAGCTGGAGCCTTTGGGCGGGGCTCAAAGAAGTTTGAATTTTATTTTGTGTATGAGAGAAATCATTGAAAGATTTTAAGCGTAGAATGCCAAAATCCTATTTTTTATTTTAGAAGTTCACTCCTGCTGCTGTGTAAAGAGTGAATTGGGTAATGGCTTGAGTAGTAAGTGGTTAGCTAGTTGGGAGACTGTTGCAGTAATCCAGGTGAGAGATGATATAATCAAAAAGGCTGTTGGCAGCGAAAATAGAGAAAAGTAGACAGATTAAGATATGTTTTGTAGGTAAAATCAGACTAAATGATGGATTAGAAGAGAAAGAGGGAGAAGGAAAGATCAAGAGGGATTTTCAGGCTTCTGGGTTGAGCAATTGGGTGAATAGTGGAACAATTTACCAAGATGAAGAAAACTGGAGGAAGAATAGAAGAGATTGTGACTTTGCTCTTTTCTGGAAAACAAACAAACAAAAACAGAAGAGATGGTAGAATAGAGAATTCCATTTTAGACAGACTAAAATGGGAGCTTACAACCCACATTAGGGATCTGCTATATCCAGGGAAATATTTGATTAGAAATTGCATATAAGCAGGCTGATCACTTGAGGTCAGGAGTTTGAGACCAGCCTGGCCAACACGATAAAACCCCCTTCTCTACTAAAAACATAAAAATCAGACGATGAGCATGGTGGCACGTGCCTGTAATCCCAGCCACTCAGGAGGCTGAGGCAGGAGAATCGCATCACTTGAACCCAGGAGGCAGAGGTTGCAGTGAACCGAGATTGTGCCATTGCACTCCAGCCTGGGTGACAGAGCAAGACTCTGTCTCAAAAAAAAAAAAAAAAAAAAAAAAAAAAAGGGAAAGAAATTGGACATAAGAACTTGGAGCTTAGAGGAGAGATTTGTGGTGGTGGTATCAGTTTGGGGATCATCAGCATATGGATGCCATTTAAAGCCAAGGAAATGGACAAAAAGCACTGAGGGATTGTCTGGTTTGATGATTGTCACCACTGGACCTGTGGTAGCCAGTGTGGTTGAATATCTTTTGGGTTTAAAGCATTAGATTTCAGTAATTGGGTAAATGAACTATCCTTGGATCTGCAGATGGTCACGTATTTGTCACTCTGTGTTGCCCTGAGATGCCCTATCTTGGAGAAGACAAACAAGATCTCTTGTCCACAGATACTCCCTGGATCTGGCTGTTAAGTTTGCTGGTTTCTATTTTCAGTGGGCCAAGGGCCATGTCAGTTTTCTGCCACCTGCAGGATACACCATGAAGCTGAAGGAACTTGAGCGGCCCGCTGTCCAGGTGTGGAGCCCAGCCAGCCAGTACCCTTTGTATCTGGCCACAGGTATGGTGACACTGTGGATTAGGATCCATTGAAAGTACATAGGTTGAGGGGAACTTAGTATCTAGAATTATTGATTGGGCATCAGAGAAAGCTTTCAAATCATAGGAAGGTAGGGTGGCTCACAGCATAAGCAAGGGGATATTAGGTGTTTTGGGGACATGACGGCTGCCTACAACTGTGGCTCAAGGTTGGGTACATCATGTTTTCTTGCTTTTGTAGTTACCTTTTGAGAAAGGGTATATCTAGCTCTCTTCTATTCCTCCTCCTCTTCACTCCTTATCTCTCTTACACCTGAAATCCCTGCATATATTGTTGCTCATATGCTGCCTCTTGACTTTTCTTGTGCCTAGGAACATCTGCCCAACAGCTAGATTCCTCCTTCAGCACAAATGGCACATTGGAAATATTTGAGGTTGATTTCAGGGACCCTTCTCTGGACTTGAAACGTAAAGGAGTCCTTTCTGCCTCGAGCAGGTATTGTCTGATCTATTGATGGGTATACAGGGTAGATACTGACAAATATACTGATGAGGAGTCCTGGGAGTGGTGTGTTTTTCAGGGCTCATGAGAGCCACGTGAGGAAAGAAGGAGCTTTGCCAAGTTGGAGAGAAGTTAACTCAGGGCTTATTTTGCAAAAAGTTTTTAAAAACAACCACCCCCACCTTTCCAGTCAGCAGCAGTAGCAGTGTCAGGCTGAATGCATGTGATAGAGATGCCTCAGACAAGCCTGGACCCACGTGTACCTGGTCTGTCTTTGAACCCAGAGATACTGGCCCCTTCCCCCCTTGGCTCTTATGAATATAACAACCTTACACAATATCACCCTGTCTGCCAACAAGGAAAAGAACGAATGATCCTCTCCTCATTGATCTTAGACACTGATTGGTTCTCATGGATTCTGTGGCTCTTGCAGGCTTCCAGCTCTAGATATTATCATTTATTGAGCACGTGTGTACAGCCAGATGCTGTGCTAGAAGCTCTGTACATTTTATTTATTTGTCATAATAAGCCTAAGTGCTAAGTACCATATTTCCATTTTACATAGGAGGGAACTGAAACTCTGAGAAGCTAGAATTTAAGTCAAGGCCTATCTGAGTCCATAGCCTACCTTCTTTCCATTATTGTGCTGTTCTTTTAAAGGTTATAAAGGTGGGGCTTACAATCTGAAGTGATGGTCTCCAAATTTTTATATCATCAGAAAAAATGTGAATATTTGTTATATTCAAGTTACATATGCAATATAAATATATACATGTGTTACTATACTTTTTTTTTTTTTTTTTTTTTAAGAACAGGGTCTCACTCTGTCACCCAGGCTGGATTACAGTGGCATGATCAGGCCTCACTGCAACCTCCACCTCCTGGGCTCAAGCGATCCTCCCCGCTCAGCCCCCTGAGTAGCTGGGACTGAAGGCGTGTGTCACCATATTTCACATTTTTAGAAAAGACGGGGTTTTGCCATGTTGCCCAGGCTGGTCTTGAATTCCTGAGTTCAAGTGATCACCCGCCTCGGCCTCCCAAAGTGCTGGGACTATAGGTGTGAGCCACTGTACCAGCTGGCTATGCTATTAATAAAGTATAATTTCTATTAATATTGTTTTTTTTAGATTAGATATTATTGGTCTAGAAGGCAGCATTCCATCTGATGATTGATGAACTCGTTGTGCATTCTGTGGTCCGTCTAAGAGATTAGTTAAAACATTTAGGCAGAAGTACCCTCTTTCTTTTAATGGTTTAACCTAATAGTGAAAGGGTTAGTTGTTTACCTTTTCTTGAGCTCCTATATCACTTTATGACAGCATCTCTTATTTTTCAGGCTTTTGTACATCTCTGTATTTCCAGTACCTGTATCCTTTGAAGAGCAGGCACTTGAGGATTTATTGATGATGATTAGATATTCTTAGCCCCTAAGCAAGTATTTCTGAAGGAGCCCCTCAAAGGGGTGAGCTAAGTCAAGATGTTTATACTGCTGGAAATTAAAAAGGAGGTTCAACCTGAGAAAGCTGCTAAGAAAGGAAAAAAGGGTGAGGGGGCACTAGACAAGGGTTCTATTCCTCAACAAGCAAAGCAACAGCTTCAGCATAGTAGTGGCTCCTTAGGGCTAAGGGTTCTTAAGAAAGAGGCAATATATTCTTAGGAACTGAATTCTGAGATCTACATAGATTTCAGAATAGATTTTAATGTTTTGTTTTTCGTTTTTTGGGATTTTTTTAGAGACAGAGTCTGACTTCGTCAACTGGGATGGAGTACAGTGGTGCAATCTCAGGTCACTGCAACTTCCGCCTCCTGGAATCAAGCAGTTATCCTGCCTCAGCCTGCGGAGTAGCTGGGATTACAGCCACGTGCCACCATGTCCAGCTAATTTTTGTATTATTAGTAGAGATGGGGTTTCATCATGTTGGCCAGGCTGGCCTCAAACTCCTGACCTCAGGTGATCTGCTCACCTTAGCCTTCCAAAGTGCTGGGATTACAGGTGTGAGCCACCATGCCCACTGAGATTTTATGTTTTACTCACTGCTCTATCTCCAGCACTTAGAGTAGTGCCTAGCATTATATTTCATAAATGTTTGTTACATGAATGATTTTAGAAACTTCTGGGTTACCGGCCAGGTGCGGTGGCTCATGCTTGTAATCCCAGAACTTTGGGAGGCCAAGGGAGGCGGATTGCTTGAGGCCAGGAGCTCGAGACCAGCCTGAGCAACATGTCTCTACTAAAAATACAAAAGTCAGCTGGGTATAGTGGTGCACGCTTCTAATTCCAGCTACTTGGGAGGCTGAGGCACCCGAATTGCTTGCATATGGGAGGTAGAGGTTGAAGTGAGCCAAGATGGCACCACTGCACTCCAGCGTGGGTGACAGAGCAAGACTCTACCTCAAAAAAAAAAAAAAAAAGAAACGGAACTTTTGAGTTACCAAACAGCATTCAAATCCAGCCCTTCAGTTACAGTTAGTCTTAGTGTCTTAAGAGTTTTTCAAGCTGTTAGTTTGAATTTGGGAGCCATGAACTTTACCTCATACTCCTGATCCACTCTGTAGGGATTTGGGGCCAGTAACCAGAATAAATAGTACAGTTAACCCTATTAATAATATTTCATCTCTGCTTTCTTTTCCCACCTCTGTAACTATATTTGGAGATTGAATTGCATTCCCAAAGACCTCAATCCCAGAGGGATTACCTTTGACACGGCCCCGTTGGGGCCTTTCTGAAGAAATTATCTTAGACACCCCAGGGTCTAAGACACCCACTTCATTATGTTCCATTGTAAGTTAGGTCACATGCTCAATAGTCAGTATCAGAAACTATTGACCAGGATGATCAGGGCAGATAGAGGGCCACTCATTCTTTGCTTTATGCCTTCCTCTCTCCTTTTTTCTGTGTCATCTTCTGCTTGGTGTGGCATAAAGGACAGTTGTGTGGGGCTGTAGCATTGGCCATAATACCAACAGAGCTATGTGGCTTGAGAAAATCAAGTCAGTTACCTTAGGTTCCCTCACTTATGTATAAAGAAAAGATTGTACAAGATGACTTCTGAGAAACTATCTGAGACCTGAATTCAGGTTTCATGTTCAGTCTCTTATTCCCTTTTATTTTCTAGTAGTCTTCCTCACTTTTCCTTTTTTATTTTTTTTATTTATTTTATTTATTTATTTATTTTTTTATTTTATTTTTTTTTTTTTGAGACAGAGTTTCGCTCTTGTTACCCAGGCTGGAGTGCAATGGCGCGATCTCGGCTCACCGCAACCTCCGTCTCCTGGGTTCAGGCAATTCTCCTGCCTCAGCCTCCTGAGTAGCCGGGGTTACAGGCACGCGCCACCATGCCCAGCTGATTTTTTGTATTTTTAGTAGAGACGGGGTTTCACCATGTTGACCAGGATGGTCTCGATCTCTTGACCTCGTGATCCACCCGCCTCGGCCTCCCAAAGTGCTGAGATTACAGGCTTGAGCCACCGCGCCCGGCCTACTTTTCCTTTTTTAAAACCTCTTCCTGTATCTCTTCATTGTCAACTAAACATATACCTTTCAGAATCTTCCCCATTCTCTGCCTGCCCTTTTCTCCAAACCCTTGCCTCAACCAAATTTGGATCCTGAAGATCCCCTTAATCCTCAATCTATGATGCATCAGTGAAATCTTATCTACCTAGAAATATTTGACTAAAAGAAAAATGTTCTGAATCATCAGTAAGGGTATAAATAAGAGACAGCCTGAAGCTATAAATAGACTGAAGAGCGTGCATGGTTAAGCACCTCTGGATGCAGTCAGAATCAATATGGATTAGCATGTGCAGTGAAGCAAACAGTGTTTGGTTAGATGAATTTTACTCAAAAAGAGAGATTTCTGGGAGAATAATACATTGTTTATATCATTGACTGAGGACATAGCTGCTGTGGGTAAATGAGGTGAGAGGACAATGTGTGATCGATCTGCTGTGCCTTAGCCTCTCTGTACACTGAGTTTCTAGCTCTCTGAAGTGGCCCAATAACCTCTGGAAGAACTACCCTCAAGTAACATGGAGAAAGTAGAGGATCTGTCTTCTGTCATTCTATTTTTATCTCAATTCTAGCTACTTGGGGAGCACTGTGTCCTCTCTTTGGGTGCTTTCTGTAAGGGACAACGTCAAGCAGAAAAAAATCATCTGTGTACTTCTCTTAGTTTTCCTGTTCTCAAGGCTTGCCTTTCTAGAGGCATCAAGATGGATAATAGAGAGAGCATGGGTTGGTTGTTGCATAGACCTGAGTTGATCTCCCAGCTCTGCCCCTTGCTGTCCTCTTGGACACTTGATCTAACTTCTCTGAACTTTTTTTTCCCCACTATAAATTGAGGATTCACAGTAGATGCATAGTAGTTTGTCGTATATTAGGCATTGAGAAAAGTAGCTTGCCTCTCAGACAGCCAATGCGCCATTCATTCTCCAGCTTGGAATACTGCCTTAACCACTCAGTTTGACTTCTAGGGAGACTTGAGTGTCCCAAGTTATTTTGGCTTGAATGTGGACAAACTCTTGTCACTTTAGTTCACTAACATGAAGCTGGGATTTTTTTGAAAAGAAACTTACTAAGAAAATAACATTAAAAAATAGACATAAGGTATCACTATATTGACCAGGCTGGCTTCCACCTCCTGGGCACAAGTGGTCCTCCTGCCTTAGCCTCCTGAGTAGCTAGGATTATAGGTATGAGCCACTGTGCCCAGCTAGACCACCTTTTTTGATTTTTAACTTTTTATTTTTTTAAAAATCCAAGCTTACAGGAAAGTTGCAGAATAGTACACACCCACCCATCTCTTTCTCCAAACCCATGCCTCAACCAAATTTGGATCCTGAAGATCCTCTTGTTCCATTTTTACTTGCAGAGTAGAGATGATTGACACTCCCTGAGCACCCTGAACGATCAAGTCGCCTTCCTTGCTTAACTCCACCCAGGTGTGCCCATTCTCCCAGGTGCTGTCTGTCACAACCTATTTAGGCGCCAGCTTTACCCTCACTAGTGAGGTGGTTAACCACAGACATGTGCTTTCTGCGTGCATACAGAAAGAAAATCTTTTTGTCACACCCTATGTGTGGCATTTCAGGCACTCTGATGTAACTGCCCTCTTCTCCAACCCTTTGGTGACTCCGCCTTGAGGTCTCAGGTACCTTTTACCCTGCTCTGTATGTCATGTGTTCTGACCATGCTGAGGTCACTGCACCCTCTGCATTCCCATGTGGGTTTTTCACTGGGCATACCCTCCTCTGGTTTCTGTGTGACCCACTGTGGGCTTCTCTAGCTACTCAGTTGACATGCCCTCCACCCCTGCTGAGCTCCAGTCCCTGGATGACCTGGTTGCCTCTTGAGCCTGTATGGAAAAACTTCCTGTGCTATATTAAGATCACTGCAACCAAAAAAAAAAGATCACTGCAACCTTAGAAACAGCCTTTCTGACAGTAGACTCTTGGCTAGCATTGTGTCAGCTCTGCTGTTTTGCATCAGATGCTGACCTGGTCTGAGCTGGTGCTCCACGCTTTGCTTCTGACTGGCTGGCTCTGCTCCAGTGACTGGCCTAGCAAGTTCTTGTCTATCACCCCACTCAGTTGCTTTGCTGACTGTTCCCAGGGAATATTTCATTATAGTTAGAGATCTCGTAACATCATTTGGCATGATACCTGGCTTCTCCAAAGGGCTGTGGAAATGTCCTTGGCTAGCAGTTATGAAGTGAGAGACAGACCACCTATAAGGCTTCAGAGATTTCACATGCCTTCTGTAGGGGATTTGCAGACCCAGACTTTTCTGGAAGGGGATCCAGGGACCCAAAGGGATCTTTTTCTCTGGGGGTAACACATTGTCATTATCTTATTAGAAGCATCCTCAGAAAGCCAGAAAAGCATTTTCTGAGTGGGAATGTATCCTTTCATGCTTCTGTGTCTCTAGGGCTGGCCCTTTGCAGCCACATGGCCATTCCAGTGGGCCAGCCGCATGGGAGAGGCATTGGGTCTTTTCTCATTTCCAGTTTGAGAGTGAAGAGGCGACAGCAATTGTTGGTCTAGGGATCCTGATTCTAATAGTTACAGAAGAGCTTGGATCTTTCTCTTAATAGGAGACAGTATTTTATGATGTTAAGAGCTCAGGCCCTGGAATAAGATGGGCCTGACTTTGAACCTTGACCCTGCTACTTCCTAGCATTTATCATAAAATGGGAATAAAATTACTAGCTCTGTGTACAGAAATTTTATAACTTCTTTGGGCCTCAGTTTCCTCAATTGAAAATGGAAATAATAGTAATACTTCACAAGGTTGTTAAATATTCAATCAGCTAATAAGTCTAAAGCACTTAAAACAGTGCTGATACATAGCAAGTATTCAGTCAGTGTAAGTGGTTGTAAGTGGTTGCTATTATTACCTGACTATTTGAGTTGTGAAGATTACGTGAAGTAATCTATTTGAAGTATATATCACCGGGCCTATATAACCCCAATGCTAACTTAAAAATGTACACATGTATACACCTCCACACAACTCAGAGGCAGTGGCGTCCTGGCTTGTAGTGTAACATAGATGGAATATTTTTTTCAGAAAAAGGGCAGGACTGAGCAGAGGATACCTCCCTTCTGTCTGGGAAATGAAGGAGACAGGCAGGTCCCAGCTAGGGGTGGGGATGCCTGCATAATGGCAGAAGCTGAAAAGATATCATCCTCTGCTTACTGACATGAACCTAAGTTTGTACTGATGCCAGTTCCTACTCTTTGTAGGTTTCACAAGCTGATCTGGGGGAGCTTTGGCAGTGGGCTTCTGGAAGGCTCCGGGGTTATTGCTGGCGGCGGGGACAATGGCATGCTTATGCTATACAATGTGACCCACATCCTGTCTTCGGGGAAGGAGCCTGTGATTGCCCAGAAACAGAAGCACACGGGGGCTGTCAGAGCCCTCGACTTTAACCCTTTCCAGGTACTACATTTCAGTTGATCAACATGGCCAAGCCAGGGAGCAACAGATCTGAGTGGAAGCATTCACCTGTGGCCTCCGGTCTGTAACTCTGACCCCTTTCCAGGCTGTTTCAGGGGAGGCTTTTGATACCTCCAAATGTGGGCCTCTTTCCTCCTTTCTTGCTCTATTTCTTCCTAGGGTGGTGTGTCTCCAAACACCTTTTATTCATACAGGGCAACCTCCTGGCTTCAGGAGCCAGCAATTCTGAAATCTTCATTTGGGATTTGAATCACTTGAGTGTACCAGTGACCCTGGGATCCAAGTCACAGGTGAGCAGCACCCCCAGCACCCAACCCTGGCTGCTGCTTAGAGTGTGCAGCTGATTTTCCTAAATAAACTCAAGTTCTGCAGCCAGCTGGAGCTCAAGAGATTTCAGGCTTTACCACTGGAGGGCAGTAAAGCTCCACAGACTAACATGCTACCAGCCAGCTAAGAGCTAGGGTGGTGGGTGGGTGGAGGGTGTGTATGGGGTGGTTGGTTTGTGCTCATTACTTGTTCTAGGAGTTTCTGGGAGGCAGATGAAAGGTGGGGAAAGCAAAAGACACCACAAGAAGGGATGGGAGTGCTGTTTCTCATAGTAGAGCTTTCGCAGGGTTGGGTAGGGCACCGGGCCCAGCAAAGAGGGAGCTAGGGTAGGACCCCAGACAGACCTTTGTCCTTTTTGCGGGGAGGGTCAGCTTTGTTCTCTCTGCATGTAGCTGTCCCATGCAGTTGGGGGTGTGGTCTTCTGTCTTGGAGAGCCTATCTATCAATCTGTAACTGGGCCCATCTTTTTGCTTCCCGGCCTTTTCTCTGTCTTGTGCTTACAGTATCACGAGGTAAGTTAAGTATGAATTGGATAGCATCTTGTTCTCTCTCGGCCTCACCCTGTCTGCGGGTCTTGGGTATCTATGTTTTCCTCCCTCCCTCATCTTCCTCCATCTCCCTCTCTTTTTGTCCTAGACAAGAGGGCTGTTTTAAAAGTCTTGACACTATCCTCTTAGGAGAACCCTGGGAAGGAATAAAACCTAGATGTGCCTGCCATGCCCTCTACTTCTACACCTGATACCCTAAAGGATCCTCCCTGGAAAATTCAAATCCCAGCTTCCCAACACTTTCTTAGTTTGGGTAGCCCTGTGTCTATTCTTGGACTTGCTGTGGGTGGCTGGAAGCAGTGGAACAGCAGATGTCACTTTGTCCAGGAGGTGACAAGTTGTCATCTTCCTGTCCCCATCCTGCCTTAGCAGCCCCCGGAGGACATCAAGGCATTGTCTTGGAACCGCCAAGCCCAACACATTCTGTCTTCTGCTCACCCCAGCGGCAAGGTGGTTGTGTGGGATCTCAGGAAGAATGAGCCTATCATCAAAGTCAGTGATCACAGCAACAGGGTGAGTAGTGGAGGCTCTGGCTTCTCTCTCCTGCCTAGCAGTTAGAGCTGCTCTCCCACGCCAGAGTTCTGCTTTCAGCTGTTGGACATGTGAAGTCAGCCACTTAGCACATTTCCTATTGAGAGTGAAAACTTAGGGAAGCTAAACAGAGCTGATCTGGAAGCTTCTAAGCTTCTACCATTTCTTATTCATGACCATCACTCTCTGATGGCTGTGGTGTTCCCAGTCACATAGAAGAGACACAAAATTTTCCCATTTCAGCTGGGCAAAAGAGTCAGGTTACAGCACCCATTGGGATCTGCTTTGTTCACAGATGCACTGCTCAGGCCTGGCCTGGCATCCTGACATAGCCACCCAGTTAGTGCTGTGCTCAGAGGATGATCGTCTCCCTGTGATTCAGCTGTGGGACTTGCGCTTTGCCTCCTTGCCTCTGAAGGTGCTGGAGGGCCACAGCAGGTAGCATCTCAGATGTCATCCATATCCTTGGCGGGGATGGTGGGCATAACTGGCCTGGGTAGGAGGCAATGCATCCCTCACTTTAGCTACTAAATATCCTCCCTGGCTTTAAAGCCATTCCAGTCAACATACAGTTACCCAATACTAGCTCCAGCCGTAAGCAAGAGGAGGCCCTTAGACCCTGAGATTATGGAGAGGAGGCCGAGATTCCATCTAAATTCCAGAGATGGGAATGGAATCGGGTCATGAGAAACATCGGAACAGTGTTTAGTCCCCAGGCTCTGATATGAGGATAATGTTCATTTCTTTAGGTGATGAGCTTTCCTCCTCCAGGACTTCTTCGTAAAAACAATTTGACTCCTGTCTATCCTGTGAACAGCCCACCACAATCTGTTCTTTCTAACCAAAGGGCCGTGCTGCCTTTATATCTCCTTGGGGTCTTTTATTTTTTTAGACCAGTTCTTACTCTGTCATTGAGACTGTAGTGCAGTGGTGTGATCAAGGCTCACTGTGGCCTCGATCTCCTGGCCTCAAGTGATCCTCCCATCTCAGCCTCCCAAAGTGTTGGGATTACAGGCATGTGCCACTGTGCCTGGCCTCCTTGGAGACTTTTTATGGTTAGGTCTTTACTGCCTCCTGGGCTAAAAGTAGCCATAGGGATCAGTGTTTGTGTGATTCATACTGATTCATAATCTTTACTGTCTAATCAGTGCAAAGAAGTAGGTAGTCCTGTGGTGATCTGAGAGAGGCAGAGTGGTGCAGTGCATAGTGAACAGGCTCTGGGGTTTGATTTGGGTTCTGACTCTGCAGCTGTTGGAAAGTTACTTAATTTTTCAAAACCTCATTTTCTTCATTTGTAAGATAATATCAGACCATGGATTTTATAGGGCATGATCTGATATGCCCTATAAAATGTATCAAAGACATGTAAGGCACCCTACTGATATTAGGCATTCAACAAATGCTAGTTCCTCTTTTCTTCCCTTTTTAGGGGAATCTTGTCAGTGTCGTGGAGCCAGGCTGATGCTGAACTGCTGCTCAGCAGTGCGAAGGACAGCCAGATCTTGTGCTGGAACCTGGGGAGCAGTGAGGTAGGCTGGCCCTTCTGTGGGCATGCTGGGATGGGAGAGAGAAGGTAGAAAAATCTCAGCTGCAGCTTTGTGTTTTGGGTTTCATGGACTGTCCGTAATGGTGTGTTCTCTCATATTAGGTAGTATATAAGCTACCCACACAGAGCAGCTGGTGCTTTGATGTGCAGTGGTGCCTTCGGGACCCTTCAGTGTTCTCTGCTGCCTCCTTCGACGGTTGGATCAGTTTGTACTCTGTGATGGGTAGGAGCTGGGAAGTCCAGCACATGAGACAGGCTGACAAGGTTTGAAGGGCTTGCTAGAGAATGCTGGAGGGAAGGGGCTGTCTCTATTTGTGGGAGAGAGACATACAGCCTGAGAAGTGGGGACTATTGGAGATTAGGAGACCAGGACTGTGGGTTTGGGAGGGCTGCACCTTTGCTCTAGTGCCCGTCTTCCTGAAAGGCTGTCAGTTTCTGCCACAATATGAAGAAGGCCTTCACCTTGACTCTTGTTGTTGGATGGGCGCTGTAGTATTTTGGGGACAGTGGGACCCCTTTGCTGGGACAGTTATTTCAGGAGCATGACTCTTATCTTTCTCTCTCCTGTAGATCCATTTTGTGCCACACTCCATTGTAGACTTTGAATATAGTAGTTTTTCCAAGAGCCAACTTGCTCCCACCCTCACTACCACTCACTTTCCCATCCCCTGGAATATGGGAATCTGACCTTTCTAGGTCAAATTGGGGTCTCAAGCATTCCTCCCAAAATGGAGTTTGTAGGTTCCTGACTCCCTGCCACTTTAGGATGGTGATGCAGGTGTCTTTTCCCCTAGATCTCCTCTTCCTTCAGCAAAGGCCAGCCTCTCCCACCACTGCAGGTGCCAGAGCAAGTGGCACAAGCATCATTGATACCTCCCCTGAAAAAACCCCCCAAGTGGATTAGAAGACCAACAGGTGTTTCATTTGCTGTAAGTGTAGCGGATGTATAGGTGTGGTTGTGTGTGTGTTTGTGTTTGTGAAGCCTCCCATGTGCCCAGCATGGAGCTAAGTTCTGCAGGAGATGTATTCCCACTGCCTCTGTCTCAGAATGGACCCCACTTTACCTTTCAAGGAGAGAGTTACTATAGCTTCCCTCTCTTCACTTCACCCGTTCTGTATCTTCTGCAGTCCTGTCTAAAAGGAGTTGACTGCCTTAGAACTCTCAGTTATGGAGATATAGCCTGAGATTCCATCTGAGTTTTCTCTAACCCTTATGTGTCTGGACTGGTAGTAAGGAACTACAAAGAAGGAAAGAAAAAACAGATTTTTTTTCTGTCATTCCTCTGTTCAAAACCTTTGGTCCTTCCATTGCTTTATAGACAAGGCTAAATGTACACAGAGCTCCACTTACCTTTCTAGTGTTCATTTCCATCTCATTCTCAGATGTTACCTATGCTCCAATAACTCCTTTCTGTTTCATTAATAACCCGTTAACTCTCCTGTCTCTGCTTGTACCCTAACCTTCAGCTTCTCTCCTGGGCCCATTGAATCCTACTGCAGCCTTTCAGGGTCTCTCTCTCTCTCTCTGTCTTTTTGGAGATGGAGTCTTGCTCTATTGCTCTGGCTGAAGTTCAGAGGTACAATCTCGGCTCACTGCAATGTCTGCCTCCTGGGTTCAAGCTGTTATTCTCTTGCCTCAGCCTTCCAAGTAGCTGGGACTACAGGCACATGCTGCCACGCCCGGCTAATTTTTTGTATTTTAGTAGAGACAGGATTTCACCATGTTGCCCAGGCTGGTCTCAAACTCCTGAGCTCAGGCAATTCGCCTGCCTTGGCCTCCCAAAGTGCTAGGACTACAGGTATGAGCCACTGTGCCTGGCCACAAGGCCCCTGTCTTAAATACTATCTCCTGCTTGGTGCCTATCTTTAACCCAAGTCAAAATTAACCTCTCTCTATAATCCTGCAGATTTATACTTTGGTAATGATACATTCTAACTATGCTAAAGTTATTTATATACATGTATGCAGACTGTACTAAGTAATAGACTCCTTAAGCATGGGGACTATGTCTTGCTGATTTTTACGTCTCCAAAGTGGTGCTTCACAAACTATTAATGTGCATACACATCACTTGGGGATCTTGTTAAAATTCAGAATCTGGCCGGGCGCGGTGGCTCATGCCTGTAATCCTAGCACTTTGGGAGGCCGAGGTGGGTGGATCACCTGAGGTCAGGAGTTCAAGACCAGCCCGGTCTTCATGGTGAAACCCAATCCTAAAGAAAAAAAAATAAAATAACATTCAGAATCTGGTTCATTGAGTCGGGGGTAAGGCCCAAAATTCTGATTTTTCGGCAGTCTCCCAGTTGATGCCCTTGGAGCTGGTCTGAGGACTAGCACTCTGAATCGCAAGGTCCCGAAGCACTTGGTGCAGGGCTGTAAATACTAGGTTTAAATTGAAAACAGATGTATAAAAGTAGAAGTTCTTGTTTTCAAAGCCAGCAGTTTTATTGGGGAGGCAAGACTAACACATTCAATAGTCTGTGAGCTTAGAAAGAAAAAGAGGTAGGGAAGTGAAGAATTCTGAGGTCAAGAGGCCTGAATTCTTATCATAGCTTTGTTGTTTATTAGCTGGGTAACCTTGAACAAATCATTTAACCTCTCAGAACGTAATCGTTCTTATCTGTAAAACAAGGATAGTGATGCCTGCCCAGCTTAAGTTAGAAAATTAACATGGACCATATAAGAATATATGTACCCACTTTGTAAAACTATCAAGTACTATGCAAATCAAAAGTTAAAATGGCTTGTTTAGCACTAATCTGTGGTGTAGATTTTGTGCTGTAGTAGTCAAGATAAATGAGACTTCTGAGGTAGGTATTGGGAAAAGAAATGGTGAATAGTTAGGGACTAAAGCAATAGTTATCAACCCCAAATAATCTGTACAACAAACCCCCATGACACAAGTTTACCATGTAACAAACATGCACATTTACTGCATTAGATTGAATTTTTTTTAACCTAAAGTAAAAGTTAAAAAAAAAAAAGTTGTCAACTTTGGATACATATTGGAATAACCTGAGGAACTCTGGCCACCGCCCCCCTCCGCCCCGCCCGCCCCCCGAGTTTCTGATTGTATTGTCTGGGGTGTGGCCTGGCAAGCCTGGATTGTTGTCCACGTGGTTTTAATATGCAGCCAGAGTTGAGAACTGCTGGAGTAAAAAGGGCTTGTCTAAGGTCCTATTTTGTGCCAGATGCTTTATATAAGGCATCTAATTTGGTGAGAAGGATGCTCCAGGTGGGGGTGTTGTGGATAAAGGCACAGGAACACACCAGGCATTTTAGGGATGCAGAGTGATTGTAATAAGCAAGCAGGGAAAGAGAGGCTGGGAAAGATAGGTTTGGCCCTGATTTTGCAGAGGTTTGTGCACGGCAGGCAGGGGAGCTTAAGCTTTTTCCTGTGGCCTTGTGAAACCACACAAACTCCTGAATAGCAGCAGGGTGGTACAAGCAATATCAGAGAAGCCTAAGGCGTGGAGGAAGGAAAAGAACGGAAGGCCGGCACACTATTCTAGTAACCTGGGTGAACTAACACTGGGAATGGGATAGAGTGGACCTGCATGAAAGACAGTGAGCAAGAAGAGGTAGGACGTTGTCATTGCTTGGCTGTAGGGGATGCGAAGACTTTGCTAATGCTGAGGTATTTAGCCCAGGTGACTGGGAGAATGGTGGTACCGGGACAGGTGAGCAGAAGGTGAGTACTGTGTGGTGAAGTTTGAAGCCGATGGTGCTAAGAGTGCAGAAGTGGTTTTGGTAGGGAGACACATTTGATACTAGAGTCCTGATCCTATTCTACCCCTTCAGGAACTCTCTTCTTTTATTGATTTCCTAGCCTAGGGTCAACCATTAGATGGTTTCTCAGTGAATCTGACTTAGTGTTAGTTTTTGGCTTGAAGGTGTAACCTTTACCCTTCTTGCTTCTCCTCACCAGTTTGGAGGGAAGCTGGTTACTTTTGGCCTCCCCAGCACCCCTGCGCATCTCGTGTCACAGCCTTGCCCCCGCCTAGTCGTCATCCATCAAGTCACCACAGAATCTGAATTCCTGATTCGATCAACTGAGCTGCAGGAGGCCCTGGGATCGGGAAATCTACTGACTTACTGTGAGAACAAGAGCCAGCAAGCTTTACTGCAAAGCGAAAAGATGCTGTGGCAGTTCCTGAAGGTAGGAAGCCTGAAGGCTAGCTGTTCAGAAATGTTTCCCCAAAGCCTGGAACTACAACCTGTGTCACCTGCAGGAGAGGTGCAAGCACACTGGGCCCCAGATTACAGAGGCCTTGACTCCCATTAGTATTTTCCCCACGCCGTACCTACCATCTAGACGAAAAACCTTCACCCTTTACCAGAAGCTCAAAGGCCATTTGGGAAGTGGCTAGGGAAGATGGGGAATACACGAGATGTGGTCCTTTGCTGCTACTATTGCCGATGTCCTAGATACTTTGCCAGGGCCAAGGCAAAGGCCTTCATGGTATCATGCCAAAGGGCAGGTAAGGTAATGGCGAGGAAGAAAAAAGGAAGGAAAGAGAAGAAGAAGAGAAAGGAAGAAGATTAATCAGAAGGACATATTGTCATAAGAAGGCTTTGAGTTTGTTTCAAGTAACCCAAGGCACGTCCTTGGAGTGGTCCGTAGGGTTCAGGTGCCTCTGTACATTGGAGACGTGGATTCAGTTCCAGTTCTCATTTAATTTCAAGATTACTATGACACCAGGAGAAGCACTAGACCTGTCAAAGGAAATGAGCAAGTGAGAGATCTGAAGGAAGAAAGGGAAGTAGCTGACTGGTCAGTCAGTGGGATCATTGTGCAAATTTTTGGAATGGCACAGAAGAATGCAGAAAGGATTGGGCCTGTACCAGGGCATCTGAGAGGGACTTGAAATTTGAGCTTTAGGCACAGTAGAGCTTTATGAAGGTGGACATCAGGAAGTTAGGAAAGAGAAAAAGGATTTGAGAAAGACCTTGACTATACAGTGAAGCTAGAGAATGATGTCAGAAGAAAAGAGTAAAAAGTGATACTTTTGTCGTAAGCAGGATACAAGTTCCAAGAATGGTGAGATGGGAAAGAGGGAGTGGTCAGGAGTTCACCCTTTACTCTGCTGAACAAAGGGGACAGTGGTACCTACAGGACAGAGGGCATTCTGTTTTGGTTTTGGCTTTGGTTTTTTGAGATGGAGTTTTGCTCTTGTTGCCCAGGCTGGAGTGCAATGGCATGATCTTAGTTTACCACAACCCCTGTCTCCTGAGTTCAAGCGATTCTCCTGCCTCAGCCTCCCGAGTAGCTGGGATTATAGGCACCTGTCACCATGCCCTGCTAATTTTTATATTTTTAGTAGCAACAGGGTTTTACCATGTTGACCAGGCTAGTTTCAAACTCCCCAACTCTGGTGATCCGCCTACCCTAGCCTCCCAGAGCGGTAGGATTACAGGTGTGAGCCACCATGCCTTGCCGACATTCTGGTATAAAAGCTACCCCAGAGATGTCCATCACGGGTTCCTGGTTGGGTGTGGTGAACATTTCCAAGGGAAGAGCATGAAAGGAGAAGGGTGCCCAGAGAGACTATGAGAAAGGTATGTTTAGAAATCATGGTTCAGTGCAGAATAAATTAAGGACCTGGGACAGCAAACCAAGATTACAGGGGCTTCAGAAAGGCTTGCTCCTTGGTATTTGGGACATTGAGTGGGAAGCTGACTTTGTTTACTATATCCATGCAACTTCTACCAGATGTCTTCTCAAAGAAACATTTAGACCCGTAAGACTACTGTAGGCTACACTTGGCATCGGTCTCCTTGGAAAGATATGGGATGGGGACCGCAGCAGGGTAGCATCAGGCAGGCATCTTCTGTGGGATTCCTTTCAGCAGTCATGCAACAATTCAGAGTTCTGTTCTTCAGCCCCCCAGAGACAGCTCAGGTATAAGAAGATGAGAATTAGGCAGGTGTATAAGTTGCCCTGACTTAGAAGTTTCTTGCCCACAAAAGCCAATATATCTTCTACCAATTCTAAAAGCATAGCTTCCAGAATCCCTGCAAGGAATCTGTCCCGTTACAAGAGCCACTGCAATCAGGGAAACATGTAGCATGTTGTCCACATTAATTATTTCTAGGTTACATAGTTCCAGTCCAGATGCAATTTACCAATCACAAGCATGTTGCCTAGGAACAGCTGGCATTTTACTCTTACTAGACTAGCAGGGTAACAGAGCTAGGAAGTCAATGGAAGGTCAAATTCTCACACACAAGGGGCAGGGGGCTATGTTTACATTGCCCATAGCCCATCAGTAAGTCAGATCTGGAGAGGAAAAGGGAGAGATGGCATAGGACTGCTGAGGGTACTTCTAGTAGTGCAAAGAACTATAACTGAGAGCATACTGGCACAGATGCCCAGCTTGGTGTAGGAAGAGGGTCATTTATGTTCATTTAATGGAATCTTTTCTGTGTTGTGTGGTTTCTTAGGTGACCTTAGAGCAAGACTCCAGAATGAAATTCCTAAAGCTTTTAGGATACAGTAAAGATGAGCTTCAGAAGAAGGTAAGCTGCTTTTCACATCAGAAATGTGTACTTGCTGAAGAGAAGAAGAGAATGTTGCCAGAGGAAACCACCTCAGAATACCTGTTCCTGGCCTTATTTTTGCATATGTGAGCATTTTGCATCCTAGAGTTTGTTTCTCAGAAAAATAGACCAGGGGTCTCAGAGAGTCCAGTTGGTAGGGTATGGAGGTGGGAAAAGAGGATAATGCTATTTGATCTTACATTGGAAAGAGTGGTTTTCATAGGTCTCTCCCTGCAGGTTGCCACATGGTTGAAGAGTGATGTGGGGCTAGGTCAGAGTCCTCAGCCCAAGGGAAATGACCTCAGCAGTGACAGACAACAGGGCTTCTGCAGCCAGGTGTGGTAGCAGCCCAGTCAGCCTGACCTAGAGTAACACATGAAACCTGCCTTTAGGATGCCTTTTTCTTCCTGGCCTTTTCTTTGCTCTCTGTATGTGCTTAGCTTCTGTAGAAGTCTTCAAACTCCCGAGTCTCTTAGAACTAGAGACACACAGTCCCTAAACTTTTGGACTGAGGGTGAAGAACTGTGTCTTAGCCATGAACTGTGGCCCTTCCCAAAAGTTACCTGGCTATTTTTTTAGTTTTACCCATTAACAGCCAAACAGTAGACCTCTCAGAGCTACTGAGCCAGCTCTCTGTCTTCTGGGTCCATCCTAAGTAGTCACCTCTGTCCTTCCTTATACAGGCCTCCAAACACACCACAGAGGAAGCCTCTGCTTCCTCAGCCTTCTTTGATGAGCTGGTCCCTCAGAACATGACTCCTTGGGAGATCCCCATCACAAAAGGTACCCTGACCCTGAGGGAGAGAGAGTCTCTGCTTAGGAGCAGGTGGGCCCAGAGGTTTTGGACTTGAGACATTCCCTTCTTGTCCCTGCCTCATGCTTTCCTCCCACCATCTCAAATGCTGAGTGGGTCACTTACCAGTTAGAGCTCTCTGGTTATAGATTTTCATGGATAGGTCCTTCCTATGGAAGGCCTTCTATCAGGAGATTTTATTCTATCCTTGCTGAAAGGACTGTAACCCTGCCCATGGTGATCAAGCACACCTTACACTGTGCCAGTTCCCTCCCTTGTCTTGGGCCCTGTCTTTAGACCTGGGCACCAAAATACATTTTGTTGCCAAGGAATGAAGCTTGAGGGTGTAGTTTGGAGCAAAGCAGGCTGAGTGATACAGAGATACAGAGGGTGTGCTGTGGGCCCTGCCAGGGGCAGGAAGTTAGGGTTTGAGAGCAACTCATGCAGAGGGGTTGCTTCTGCCTGCAGATGTTGATGGACTCCTAAGCCAGGCCCTTCTGCTTGGGGAGCTGGGCCCGGCTGTGGAGCTGTGTCTGAAGGAAGAACGCTTTGCTGATGCCATTATCCTGGCCCAGGCCGGGGGTACAGACCTGCTGAAACAAACACAGGCGCGCTACTTGGCCAAGAAGAAAACCAAAATCTCCTCGGTAACTGCCCATCATGCAGGAGAAAAAGGGAGGGGATTACTGGGACGTCGTGAGGTGCATACTCACACCTTGGGACCTGTGTTTGAGTATCTGCCTGCCTCTCTCTCTCTACTCTAACCGCCCCCACCTCACCACTGGCCCCTACTCAGTGGTCTAACGGGAGGCCTGTGTAGGACTCCTGCTGTCTATGCTGGATGGATGGCTGATGGCCTCTTTCCCTCTCTGCCCATTACAGCTTCTAGCCTGTGTTGTGCAGAAGAATTGGAAGGATGTGGTGTGTACCTGTAGCCTGAAGAACTGGAGAGAGGCACTGGCCTTGCTACTGACGTACTCAGGCCCAGAGAAATTCCCTGAGCTCTGTGGTAGGTGTGGCCGCAGGCTTCAGGGTAAAATGGTGTGACTCCAGCGTGGAGTAAGGGATGCATGCAGGGCGGAGGTGGAGGAGCCCGAGCTCTGGGAAGCCAGGCCATGTTGTCAGGGCTAGAGTCTGGCCCAGCCAGGAGGCAGGGACCACAGTGCATGCCCCTACTTTCAGAGGGGATCCTTTGTTGTCCTGTTTTACTTTGTCTTGTCACATCATGATGTGAGCACTTTCCCCTTCTCTGTACAGTAACACTCTGTTTCAGTGTTGTCTTAAAGCCACTGTAGCTACTTGTCCCAAGCTCATGGTCCTCTCCCTGTTTCCAAACAGGAGATGGAGGGGCGCACAAGGCAGCTGTGCCATTAATGAAATTTCCCTCTCTCTGCAGACATGCTGGGAACTCGCATGGAACAGGAGGGCGGCAGGGCCCTAACCTCCGAAGCCCGACTCTGTTATGTATGCTCAGGGAGTGTGGAGCGGCTGGTGGAGTGCTGGGCAAAAGGCCAGCAGGCCTTGTCCCCCATGGCTCTGCAGGTACCCCTTCTCTTCAGGGTACTGGCCACTCCATATCAGACCCTTAGGAGGCTAGCGGTGGAGGATGTGCAGAGCTAGCAGAGTCGAATCTTCTGGGACAGGCTGGAGCCAGGGTTTTAGGGAGGAGCAAAGGGTCCTCAGTGTCTGGGATTGTCTCTTCTTCCCTCAGAGGAGACCAAGCAGCAGCTGCTTCATTGTTAGTCCTCATAATCTTTTTCCTATCTCAGGTTTGGTTTTACAAGTGTATTCAGTATTTGAGCAAGTGTGGCGTGGCCCTTCTATTAGCTACTGTGAAAAATTCTGTGGATCTAAACTACCAGGTGTCCTGTGAGTCACCACAGAAAGTGAGGGTCACAGACTCATGTAGAGACAAAAGTTGCACATGAAACAATTAGGGTAACAGACTCTGTGGTTGATGATGTATACACAGAAAGGGTCAAAAAGCAAAAGGAAGAGGCAGAGATGTACAAAAATGTAAGACCCAGATGGGTCCAGTTAAATCCAATCCTAACGGCTTGGGAGGTGAGGCCAAGCGTCCCTTCTCTGTCATGGTTCTTACATGTCATCATCTGCTGCGTTCACCTAGGTATGGCCAGGTACCCTCATCTCCACCAATAGTAGGAGATCCCTGAGTGAGCTGCCTGGGCTTAGAGAGCAGGATATGCCTCGATGAGAGCTTACCACCCTCATCCTTGTCCTTATAGGACCTGATGGAGAAGGTGATGGTTCTTAACAGGAGCTTGGAGCTACTGCAGGGTCCTCTTGGGGTGAGCCCAGGCCCTGCCACAACCTACAGGGTCACTCAGTATGCCAACCTCCTGGCAGCCCAGGGCAGCCTGGCCACGGCCATGAGCTTTCTCCCCAGTGACTGTGCTCAGGTAAGTGGGGCCATGTGGAGAGAGCAAACCGTTTCATTTGGTCATCTAATATTGATTGAGCACTGCCATGTTCCAGGCACTATGCTAATGCCGAAGCTCCTAGGATAGACAAGATCGAATCCCTTAAGCACCTTACAATCTACTGGGGGAAGATGAGATGTCAGTGACTTATGGTGCCATAACAGAAGCTTATACTGAGCACTGTGGGAGTCCAGGGAAGGGACTGATTTTTGCCTGGAGAAGTCAAGGAAGGTTTCCCAATGGTTAAAACAGCTGAGCTGGACCTTCAAAGAGAAATAGCTTACCAGCAGATGCAGGGCATTCTAAGCAGAAAGAATCGCAAGGAGGGAGGCATGCAGGTGTTTGGCGGGAATTCAGCAACTTTAAGTCATTTCTAAGGGGGCTGGAGTGTACAGCAGGGGTTGTCCAAGGGTGAGAATACAGTGGTGAGTTCTTAGTTTCTGTTTCTGGTTAGTCCAGTAAAGCCCCTTCCTCATCCCTCTTTTCCACTTATCACTAGAGACAGAAACCAAAAACCATGACTTCAGGCTGCTAAAAGCCTAAAACCAAACAGAACAACAACAAAATAAGACGGGTTGGACAAGCTTGGCATAGAGGGTCAGCTGAAATTTGACTGCTACCTGGGGCCTTGATTATTTTAATTAACTTGACACAGCTCTTCCTCATTAAAACTTATAGCCACCAGTTCAGCAACTAAGAGATCGGCTTTTTCATGCCCAAGGTTCTGCTGTTTTGGGCAAACAATCTCCCCCTTTCCCTTTCCCCCGGATTGTTGTGGGAGCTACCCGCCACTCTAAAGAGATATCATCTTACGGTTTGGGATCCCAGCCTTCTCACCAGGTAAGACCTTATTTGTTAATTCATTAGTTCATTCATTCAGTAATACTTATGTGTCAAGCGTGGTTCTGGGCACTTGGAATATATTAATGAACAAAACTGATGAAAATTCCCAACCTCCATAGAACATAGATTTGGTTCTTTTTATAATAAATGTTTATTGAACAACTACTAGGCTCTTAGGACATAAAGGTGCAAAAATCGTGATACTTGCCCTCAAGTAGCTCATAGTCTAGTGGAAAGATAGATATGTAAAAAATAGCTACAGTAAAATTCTTAAGTACCATAATTGGGGTATGGCAAGGGGCTATACGATCACACAGAAGAAAGCGGTTTACTCTGTATGGTGATCTTGGTGGGGCAGTTCAGGGAGTGCTTCAGAATCCGTCTGATGTTTGATCAGCGTCTCAAAAATTAAAAGTTATTTAGGCCAAGGAATGGGTAGGTGAAGACTGTTTCAGGCACAGAGAATAGCAGGTACAAAGACTGAAGCAAGAGTAAGCTGAGGCCTTTTGAGGATTACTGATGTTTAATTGGGGCCGCAACACAGGTGTTTGTGGCCGTGAAGTGAAGTTAGATGAAGCTGGAACAATGGGGTAGGAGTTCAGTCACTAAGAACGTAGCATTCTGTGCGAAAGAACTTGACAGGGAGGAGCTGTTGAACGGTTTTATGAAGGGGAGTGATATAATTAGCTGTATGTTAGGAAGGGCCAGGCTGGAGGGAGTCAGGAGGCCATAGCAAGGGATGATGAAGACATGAACTAACCTAAAGCTGGCCAGTGAAGTTGGATTTGAGATACTTAGTACTTAGTAGATAGAACTGACAGAATTGCTGATAGTTTGGAGAGGTGTATGTGTGGCTGGGAAGCTGAGGGAAAGGAAGGAGGTTCTGGCCAAAGTGCCCAGGTGGATTGGGTACTGTTAACATACAAGGCCAGAAGCTTATTGGAGAAGCTGGGGAACAGAATCAGGGAGATTTGGATACAGTTATCAGGCAGAAGCTCTGATAACTTGTCCCACCTTCAATTAGGAATCCCTAGCCTAATTCCTTTTTTTCCTCCCTTTTCTCCCTCCCTTTCTACCCTCGCTTGTCTCTCCTTTCACCCCTTACCCCTACCCTCTCCTCCTCTCCCTCTCCCTCTTTTCATTTAAAAATAACTATGGATTCACAGGAGGTGGCAAAGAAATGTACTGGTATGTCTCCTGCATCCCAACACCACCTCCCCCCCACGTCAGCATCTCACACAACCACAGTAGAGTATCAAAACCAAGAAATTAACATGAATACAATCCATAGATTCAGATTTCAGATTCAGTTTCCACCAGTTTTACGTATTGTTATGTGTGTTTACGCGGTGTTGTCACATTGTGGTCTGTAACCACCAGATTCAAGACAGTCCATTTTACCATCACCACAAGACTCTCCTGTGTTACCACTTTTATAGCTGCACTTGTCCCACATTCGCATCCTTGGCTTCACCAATATGTTCTCTGGCTCTATCATTGTTATTTAACGATTGTTACGTGAATAGAATCGTGCAATATGTAGCCTTTTGAGATTGGCGTTTCTCACTTAGCATAGCTTCTTTGAGATTCATTCAAGTTGTGTGTACCAGTAGTTCATGCGTTCGTATTGCAGAGTAGTATTTCTTTGTTTTTTTTTTTCTTGGTTGGCACCAGTGTTTATTTCAGGAAGCAGGTCTGGAAGACCTGGGTCTGTCTAGTGGAGTCCTGGAGCCTCCAGCTTCTCCCTTGGCCTTCGGGTTGCGGAACTTCCGTCCAGCAAATATAGCCTTGTCCCCAAGAGCCTCCTCGATCCTCATGAGTTGATTGTATTTGGCCAGACGCTCCGAGCGACAGGGGGCGCCAGTCTTGATCTGTCCTGTGCAGAGCCCCACCACAAGGTCAGCAATGAATGTGTCCTCAGTCTCCCCAGAGCAGTGGCTCACCATTACTCCCCAGCCGTTAGACCGAGTGAGTTTGCACGCCTGGATCGATTGAGTCACCCAGCTGATCTGGTTGACCTTCAGCAGCAGACAGTTGCAGGCCTTCTTCTCAACGGCCTGGGCAATCCTCTTGGGCTTGGTGACTGTCAGGTCATCCCCCACAATCTGGATGTCTACTCCCGAGAGGAACGAGATCCAAGTGGCCCAGTCATCCTGGTCAAAGGGGTCCTCGATGGAGACCACAGGGTAGTTCTTGATGAAGCTCTTATACAGCTCTCCGAACTTCTCCCCAGTGATGCACCGTGCGGGATCATCAGGTGACTTGAAGTCAAGATCGTATTTCCCATTGCGATAGAACTCAGATGCTGCCACATCCATGCCGATCACCACCTTGTCTGGATAACCAGCTGCCTGGATGGCCGTCTTCAGCAGCTCTAGGGCCTCATTGTTCTCCAGGATGTTGGGTGCAAAGCCACCTTCATCACCCACATTGGTGGCATCCTTCCCATACTTGGCCTTGATGACCCCCTTGAGGTGGTAGTAGACCTCAGCACCAATGTGCATGGCTTCCTTGAAGGAGCTGGCTCCCACAGCCAGAATCATGAACTCCTGCATGGCCAGCTTGTTTCCAGCATGGGAGCCCCCGTTGATCACGTTGAAAGCTGGCACTGGGAGTATGAGGTCAGGGTTCTCAGCGAGATCTGCGATGTGGCGGTACAGGGGGACCCCCTTCTCAGCTGCTCCCACCTTACACACGGCCAAGGACATGCCCAGGATGGCATTGGCCCCAAACTTGGACTTATTCTCGGTCCCATCCAGCTCAATCATAAATTTGTCAGCTTTTTCTTGATCCACAACACTTAGTTTCTTTTCCAGCAAAGCAGGGCCTAGAGTCTTGTTGATGTGTTCCACAGCCTTCAGGACTCCTTTCCCCAGATAGCGGGCTTTGTTTCCATCTCTTAGTTCCAGAGCTTCATAGATACCCGTGGAAGCCCCACTGGGCACGGCTGCTCGGAATCGGCCCTTGGCTGTGTGCAGGTCCACCTCCACTGTGGAGTTGCCCCTGGAGTCCAGGATTTCCCGAGCAAAGATTTTCTGCATGGCCATGGCTGGGATGTCTTCGCTGGAGAGCTGGATGGAGCTCTGAGTCTAGGTGGCAGCTGGGACAGTGTCAGCTCACCCCCTCTCAGGCTGCGAATTTATCCCTGAGCCACCCTGTCCCCAGCCAGCCCCGCCTCTCTCTCCATCCTCCCCGCTTCACACTGGGCTGGCAGCCAAGTGCCCACTACAGCCTAAAGCAGAAGCCTCTCGCTCTGGGCACCTGCCCCCTTACCAAAGGTCAACTACTATCTCCCACTTTCTCCAGAGTAGTACTTCATGGTGTGAATGTAGCATGGTTTTTATTTTTTTATCCATTCAAACTTTGAAGGGCATTTGGGTAGTTTCCAGTTTGGGGCTATTATGAATAAAGCTGCTGAGTATTCATATACAAGTTCCTAATTGACATCTTTACTAGCTTCAGTCTCTCAATCCATGAACGTGACATGTCTCGCCAATGCTCTCTCCATCAGTGTTTTATAATTTTTATCACACCAATCCTGTACATATTTTGTCCAGCTCATACTTAAGAGTTTAATTGTTTTAATATCACCTATCAGCCCATGCCTATTAAGTATTTAATTTTCTCTTGAGCAGTTTAAAATCAAATCATATTATATTTGAATCTTGGTTGCCATGTGTTCATTGTAAGTATGTGGAAATGCAGTTGATTTTTATGTGTTGATGTGGTTATATCCTGTGACTTTCCTGAATAGTTCTAGAAGTTTTTTGTGGATTCCATGGAGTTTTCTATTAGACAGTCATGTTGTCTGCAAATCTGCAAACAGATAGTTTCCTTTCTTTTCAATCTATGTGCATTTAATTTCTTTCTCACGCCTTACTGTAGTGACGAGGACTTCCAGTCTATGTTAACTAAGAATAGTGAACATGAGCCGGTGCTGTGGCTCATGCCTGTAATCCCAGCACTTTGGGAACCTAAGGTGGGTGGATTATCTGCGGTCAGGAGTTCAAGACCAGCCTGGCCAACATGGTGAGACCTCCATCTCTACTAAAAATACAAAATTAGCTGGGCGTGGTGGTGCATGCCTGTAATCCCAGCTGCTCAGGAGGCAAAGCTGGAGAGTTGCTTGAACCCGGTACGTGGAGGTTGCACTGAGCTGAGATTGCACCATTGCACTCTTGGGCCAACAAGAGTGAAACTCCGTCTCAGAAAAAAAGAATAGTGAACATGAATGTCCTTGCCTTGTTTCCAGTCTGAGAGGAAAAACATTCAGTATTTCAGCATTAAGTATGATGTTAGCTTTAGGTTTTTTGTAGATGCTCTTTATGAGACCAAGGATGTTTCCCTCTATTCCTTGTGTCTTAGTCCATTTTGTGCCTCTATAACAGAATACCACAGACTGAGTAATTTGTAAAGAACAGAAATGTATTTCTTATAGTTCTGGAGTCCAAGATTAAGGCATCAGCAGGTATGGCCTCTGGTTCCAAGATGGTGACTTGCTGCTGTGTCCTCACATGGCAGGCGAGATGGGCAAGAGAAAGCAAACCCACTCCTGCAAGCCCTTTTTATAGTGGCATTAATCCATTAATAGGACAGAGCCCTCATGACCTCAACACTTCCAAAAAGTCCCACCTCCCAACACTGTTGCACTGAGGATTTTCAACACATGAATTTTGGGAAACATATTCAGACCATAACACCTTGTGTACTAGATCATGAATTGGTATTGAATTTTGTCAGATGTTTTTTCTACATCATTTCTGTGATCATACTATTTTCCTTCTTTAGCTTGTTGATATAGGGGATTAAATTGATTGGTTTTTAGATATATTGGACCAGCTTTGCATGACCTGGAATAAATCCCACTTTCTTGTGGAATATTATTTTTTGTATACATTATTTGATTTGCTAAAATTTTGTTGAGGATTTTTTTTTGTCTAAGTTCATGAGAAATATTGATGTTAGTTTTATTTTCTGACATCTTTTTCTGGTATTGGCATCAGGGTAATACTGGTCTCATGAAATTAGTTAGGAAGTGCTCCTTCTGTTTCCTGGAGAGATTATGTGAACTTTGTATTAATTCTTTGATTGTTCAGTGAAATTCTCCAGTGAAACCATCTTGGCCTGGAGATTTCTTCTTTGGGAGCTTTTAAATGACAAATTCAATTTCTTTAATTGTTGTAACACTACCCAGATCTTCTTTCATTGTGAGTGAGTTTTGGTAGTTTGTGGTTCTCAAGGAATTGGCCCATTGCTGATAAGTTGTCAAATATATGAATGTCAAGTTATTTGTCATATTTAACGTAGTAATCCTTTTAATGGCTTTGGGCCTGTTGTAATAGTCTCTGTTTCATCTCTGATGATGATTTATGTCTTCTCTCTTTTTATCAATTTTTATATGTTTGTCAGTTTTACTGATTTTTTTTCTCAAAGAACTAGTTTTTGTTTCACTAATTTTCCCCATTGTTTTTCTGTTTTCTATTACTTACCTTTCTCTTTCCTTTCTAAGAGCTGATGCTTTTTTCTCTTCATAGGTTCCAGCTCCATCTCCAAGGCCAAGGCTTTTCACCCCTCAGTCGTCACCAGTGATGCCCTTGACACCATCCCATCCTAACCCTTATCAGGCCCCCAGGACGCAGAATATAAGTGACTACAGGGCACCTGGGTCCCAGGCCGTCCAGCCTTTGCCTCTGGGCCCTGGGGTAAGGCCTGGTGAGTGAGTCAGTGAAGTTCTATCTAGGCAGAGCACAGAGGTCTCAGGAAAGCAACTGGCATGGCCAGCATGGATTTGGGGGTCTGTATGTCTGTCTAGTGACAGGAGCTTGGAAGTTGAGAATTGTGAATTCCTAATGCTGTCACTGGTATATTGCCAAAGGTACGAAGCCAAAGTGTTGTGTTGGTTATTTCAACCCTATGAGATTGTTTTGAAGGTCAGTCACATAAGGAATATAGTTAAAAGAATTTTGTAAATTATAGATTTCCATGTACATGTATTAATCATTATTAATTTTTTTTTTTTTTTTTTTTGAGACGGAGTTTCGCTCTTGTTACCCAGGCTGGAGTGCAATGGTGCGATCTCGGCTCACCGCAACCTCCGCCCCCTGGGTTCAGGCAATTCTCCTGCCTCAGCCTCCTGAGTAGCTGGGATTACCGGCATGCGCCACCATGCCCAGCTAATTTTTTGTAGTTTTAGTAGAGATGGGGTTTCACCGTGTTGACCAGGATGGTCTCGATCTCTTGACCTCGTGATCCACCCGCCTCGGCCTCCCAAAGTGCTGGGATTACAGGCGTGAGCCACCGCGCCCGGCTTCATTATTAATTTTTTGTTGCTATCCTGTTTCTCCCTGATATGCTCTGAGATGCTCCTGAATTGAAGTTTAGTGACAAATGACCTATTTCTCTTCCACTTCAGCTTCATCTCAGCCACAGCTATTAAGAGGGCAAAGGGCACAAGCTCCTAACCCTGTGGGATTCCCTGGGACATGGCCCCTTCCTGGTTCCCCTCTACCCATGGCATCCCCAGACATCATGCAGCCTGGCTCTACCTCCCTGCCTAAGACTCCTAGACTGTTCCCTCTGCTTCCTGTGAGACCACCAGGTCCCAGCCACATGGCCTCCCACACCCCAGCCCCTCCTGCGAGCTTCCCTGTGTCAACTCCTCCGGGGGTCCCAGGTGCCCCATGCTCCAGTGTCCTCCCAACCACTGGCGTCATGACTCCTCACCCAGGTCAGTCTTCCCTCCGTGGGTCCCTCTTGTGGGTTATTGCCTCCCCTGCCTCTCCCACTACTTTGGGAGTCTTTCCTCAAGCCAGAGGGCTGGGGTCCCATTGGGGGAGGGTGGCCAGGAGTGTAGATGGTCTGCAGTGGGAGGTATGGTGGACTCCAACTCAAAGAATGCTTCCAGCTTTCAGATCAAAAACTAACAGTGTTTTTCACTATGCACCTACAAACCTCTATCTTTTTACCCTATAGGACCTCAAGATTCCTGGAAAGATGCTCCAGCCTCCAGGGGAAACCTCCAGAGGAACAAGGTCAATGCATCTTTTCCCCACCCACTCCCTTGTACATTCCCCAGTGATCTACGTTCTAATTCCTTAGAGGATTCAGTCAGTCCTTCCCCTTCTCAGGCTGTCCCCACTCTCCTCCCACTTACTCTCCTTCCCTCAGGACCCTTGTCTTTCCCTCTTACACACCTACGCAAGTTTCCTCATTTCCCGGTTTCCCACACTCACTCTTCTGCCTCTTTGTTCATTATCATGCCCGCCACTCCCCAAAACCAGAGCCATGGAGTCTCTCAGCTTAGACTCATGTGTCTTTCCTTCTGTCTCTTTAGCTGTCAGAGACATTTATACCCCCAGCACCAATTACTGCTCCAGTTATGAGCCTCTCCCCTGAACTGCGAGGGATTCTTCCCTCACAGCACCCTGTCTCCGGTGTGAGTCATGCTCCCCCAAGAGCTCCAGGAGAACGCAGCCTGCAGGTGACAGGGACAGTGTATTCCCCTCCCTTGGGAAACCTTCCAGCCCTCCTTGGGTGTAGGTCATGGTAGACGGGCCTCATTCTTTAAGGTAGAGACAGTCTCTGAGCTGAGAGAGACTGGGGGCAGGTACCAGGTGTCCTTACTGCAAAGAAAGGGAGGCTGCTCCTCTCCTCCACTCTGCTCTAATGGGAACAGTGTGACTATGAGTCACTGAGGACTAATCCTTAGGGGAGCCATGAGAAGGACAGCTTGCCCTTCTGGCCTTTCTCCCCACTTCTTTATCAGCAACTTCAGCAGCTGCCCCCTGAGAAAGTGGAGAGGAAGGAGCTGCCTCCAGAGCATCAGTCCTTGAAGACCAGCTTCGAGGCCCTTCTCCAGCGCTGCTCCCTGTCTGCAACTGACTTAGTAAGTCTCAGCCTTCTCCACGGTGCCCTTCTCGCACCCCTAGCTTGTTCCAGGACCTCAGCTGTGGACCGGTTCCTTTTGTGACTGTCTTCTCACTGCCTCTGGGCATGCTCTGTCTGTACTTATTTGATGTCCTTATGGAGCAGGGGGAGAGACTTCAAGTCTGGTCTGAAGTCCAGCTCCTTGGTAGCAGGACCAGCAGCATTGAGACTAAAGACAGCAGGAGTAGTGGAAGCAGGGTGAAGCCAGGAGTGAGGAAGTCTGCCATTCCTTTGCTGGCTGCGCCAGCTTGAGCAAGTCACTTCCTTCTCGGGCCTTCACTTCCTTTGTGAAATGAAGCTAGCTCTAATATGCTATGATTCTTTATGGCCCTGGGTAGTGTTAGCCTTGGGGGTTGGGGTTGGAATCTATTTCTTTCCCTGCAGAAGACAAAAAGGAAGCTGGAAGAGGCAGCCAAGCGTCTGGAGTGTCTATATGAGAAGCTCTGTGAGGGGACAGTAAGTACACCTAGCTGTGCTCCCACTGCCTCCTGCCCCCCCACCATCACCATGGCCAAAGGAAGCCCAGCGTCTTTTCTTCCCATAGGTCTCACTGACCTGGGGTCCCCACAAAATACATGCCTCCTGCCTGAACTGAGCCCCAGAACTTAAGTCCTCCCTTATCCCTTCCAGGCTGCCGGTGTAGGGCCTGGGTTGGGCTCACTAATCTATGGGTCCCTTCCTCCACAGCTCTCACCTCATGTCGTGGCGGGGCTTCATCAGGTTGCCCGATGTGTGGATGCAGGAAGCTTTGAGCAGGGCCTCGCAGCGCATGCCCAGGTGGCGGGCTGCAGCAGCTTCAGCGAGGTGTCTAGCTTCATGCCTATCCTGAAGGCTGTCCTCACCATCGCTCATAAGCTGCAGGTCTAAACCAGGCAGCCTCTCTTGCTAGGAGGCCACTTCTGCTGTTCTTAACTCCTCCCTGCAGAAGAGGGGACTTTTGTAAAAGATTGTTTTTCCCAACTCTTTTCCTTGCTGCCAGGTATGTGATGCTGCAGGCTTGGCTCCAAATCAGCTGTGTGCCTGCTTTTTACTCCTTTATGCCTGGCCTTCTAGGATCTACCCAAGACTCTCCCAGGCCTGGAGGCAAGGCACAGAGTCAGTTCTTCACTCTCCCTAATATTATACTCTGTAAGGACCTGGGGCAGGGTATCTTCTCCCCCAGGAGAAGTTCAAGTGGCTTCTGAGAGGGTGAACAGGATCATTACTTCCAAGTCTACCTCTGCTGTGACCCATCTTGTGGGTCTTTTGTTTCCCCCTCTGTGGTTTATGAGCTTGCCCTTACCTTCTCCCTGCCTCTTACTTCATATTTCCAGGTCCGTATTTCTCTGTAGCCCAGGGTCTGGGGTAGAGCTGACTGCTGTTCACGCTTTGAACAAGTCTTGGATGTGAGGGATGGGTGCTGAGCAGAACCAAGAGAGGAAACTTTGGCGCTGTTAAAATGGAATTTCTCATCTGCCAGTGTTATTAAGGGTGGACTAGATTAGAGGGAAAGTGAACTGCTTTTTGCCAGAAGCTGTCTTAGGCATGAGATAGGAGCAGGGGAACCACAGCCTATGGAGAACTGCTCTTGACCCCACTTATGCTGGAGCCCTAGCCCAAGGCCATTCTTTCTGTGATGATGAAGCCCAGTTCTGGAATAGGAGCCATATGAAGGAACGATTCTCTTTAGCAACTGCTCCTCAAGGCTTGGGGGCTCTTCTCACTCTCAGCCACCACATGTCTCAGGGCTGCCTCCTCTGATTGCATTTTCATTTGTGGCACTGTATTTGATGCAGTGATGTACTCAATGGTGCAATAAAGCTGCTTTGATTTGGTTTCCTCTGTCACCTCCCAGTCATTGCCTCCGCGGGTCCTATTTTGCCATTACCTTTCTAGTCTTCTTTTTTTATTTTCTTTTATTTTTTTTTGAGACAGAGTTTTGCTCTTGTTGCCCAGGCTGGAGTGCAATGGCACGATCTCGGCTCACTGCAACCTCTGCCTCCTGGGTTTAAGCGATTCTTCTGCCTCAGCCTCCCCAGTAGCTTGGATTACAGGCTTGCGCCACCACACCCAGCTAATTTTTTTGTATTTTTAGTAGAGATGGGGTTTCTCTATGGTGGTCAGGCTGATCTCAAACTCCCAACCTCAGGTGATCTGCCCACCTCGGCCTCCCAAAGTGCTGGGATTACAGGCATGACCCACCACCCCGGCACTAGTCCTCTTTATTCTTGCTTCTGACACCCTAGTAAAGCAGGGAAGAGGCTTAGGGAGAGAAATCACGAAAGTTAAAGGAAGGTGTCCAGTGCCACTGACAGACCTCTGCTGGGTGTGTTGGGGGTGGGGGGTTTTCCCCACCCCACCTCAGGGCTGAGCTCAGCTATACAAAGGGACTGGGTGTGAAGCCAGGGGGTCCTAGCCCTAATTCTGTTGTAGATCCCATCATGTCTGTGGGCTAGATGTGTGTGTGTTTGGGAGGGAGGGATTGTTAGGCAGTATTTGTTTGTAAAGCCACTTGCTCTTCAGATAATACTTGCACTAACTTCTATTGATGAAGCAGTGTGAGCCCCAGCAAAGTCCTTTCCCAAAGTGTCTTTGAAGCCAAGCGCCCATTGAAGGGAAGAAAGGCCGGGAGAGGGGATTAGTTTGTTCAGCAGCTGTGAATTTCAGTGGGAGGTTGATGAACTCCGAAGTCTTTGTTTAAATTAAAGTGGGGGAGAAAAAAGCCGCTGCTGGAGCGAGAGCCCCACTTGAGGCCCTGAACTAACACAAGGAGAAGTCTGAGCTGCAGGGAGCTGTGTACTGACTGTGAAGACTTTTCCCAAACACTCTCGGAAAAGGTGTTGTGAGAAGACAAGGGGGTTGAGTGGCGGATTAGCATGTGAAATGAAGTTTTCATTGACTCCGGTGGGGGTAGAAGGCTATTTTAATGGCATTTTGTTCTCCTATTGTCTCTTTTTGAGCTCTTTAGAGATATTGTTTTGCTAAGACAGGCTTTCTTCCCCCCTTCTTTCCAGTCTGAGGATTGCCTCTATGGGAGCCAACGTAAATATTTCTCCTCCAGGAATGTGGGTTAATTAAAAGGAAATGAATGAGTGGAAGCATCCAATCCACAACTACAATAGGCGAGTGCCCTGGCCTGCCCTCCCCTCCCACCACCGCCAGCACCACCAGCACCAAGGACGACCCGTCTCTGTGCCCTAACCTGCTGCTAAGGCCATTTGAGGCTGCGATTCTTTTCAAAAAGAAAAAGCTCTGCCTGTGTGTAGGCTCACAGGCCAGGAACAGGAAGGAGACTGTGTTTTGCCCACCCCAACCAATGTCCTTGCCACTTCTCAGGACCTCCCTCCGTTTCTGTCCCTGGCTGAGACAGATGGGCTCCTGAAGAGCACACAAGAGGTGGGAAGGGGCCTGTGCTCTGCACTCACCCCACAGTAACTTACTAGTTGGCAGAAGAAGCCAATCATCTTTCTCAGCGTCAGTTTAAATCTGTAAAACAAAAGATAAGACTAGCTGACCTCAAAGACGTCTTCCCAAGCACCAGTTCTGGAGTTGTCTACTTTGTAAAGGGACCACAGCCCTGGCAATTGAGTGTAAGGTGAGAATTGAAGCTCCATGATGCAGCGATGGTGGTTGTTCGCTACTGTCTCCACTTGTGTGTGTTGAACGAACAAATGAACAAGTGGATACTGCAAAAGGAAGGGAAAAGCAATACAGATCCAAGGCAGCTCAGTCATGTTTTCTTGTTAGAACTGGAATGAATCTGGTATTCATTTGGGGTTATAAAACAATAACCTAGGCCAGGCATGGTGGCTCATACCTGTAATCCCAGCACTTTGGGAGGCCAAGATGGGTAGATCACGAGGTGAAGAGATCGAGACCATCCTGGCCAATATGACGAAACCCCATCTCTACTAAAAATGCAAAAATTAGCTGGGTATAGTGGTGTGCACCTGTGGTCCCAGCTACTCGGGAAGCTGAGGCAGGAGAATCCCTTGAACCTGGGAGGAGGTGGTTGCAGTGAGCTGAGATCACACCACTGCACTCCAGCCTGGCGACAGAGCAAGACTCCGTCTCAAAAACAAAAACCAAAAGCAAAAAACAACAACCTACGAGATAATGTTCTGGCAACATGATATAGAGTGCTGACCTAGAGTTACCAAATAGGAAGCACAGTACTACTCTTGCTTTTATGCTAAGAGACTTCCTGAGAATGCAGCTTCACTTTACAACATTGTACTTTTAAATTTCCTAGCTGCCTTGCCAAACTCTTCGTGTACATTATTAAGTAATCCTGCAAAGTGGGACAGGTAGGTTAGTATATACTGCTGTTGAAGGAGGAAAGGCGAGTTGGGAGATTCAGGAGGCCCAGATAAAAGCGGAGGGAAGACGTGAAGGGCCTTTTGCTGATAGAGCTGGAAATGAAGCACTAGGAACACCTGAAAGGAAGTGTATCCCCTGCTCAAGAAGGAGAGACTCTCTCCTCAGTGATAGTAAGACCAGAAGGTGTGAGTGAGACCAGGTGCTTGGGATCTGACCTGGCCATTGCCTCAGTTTGGAATACAGGAGCCCTTCCACTCTTACAGGTGAGCCCCTAGAGTCTTGACTTTTGTTACCTGCAACCAGCCACACCGCTTTCTCCTACTCTGAGAGAGGAAGGCTCAGGCTGTCTAGCTTCTGACCAGTTCTGCTCCAGAAGAGCTGCCCAGTCCAGACCCGGGACTGTCCTAGGGCAAGAAAGCTGGCTGGGAAGCTCCTTGGGTTACAGATGGTCTGTCAGGGATTGGTTCTTCCCTCCCCAAGGACTTGCTCTGTTTCATAAACAAGTCCCTGCTGTACTCCTCTCTGAGAATAAAACCAGAAGACTCAGGTACCACAAGCAGCAAGCTCATGGCTATTGAGTGAATGTATTAGATTTATATAGATGATTTACTAATCCTTGGCAGATTAGCCTCAATCCAGGTAACTACTTGGGCCACCAGGGAAGTGAGGCTCCAGAGAGGATGGTATCCTGCCAAGATAGGAGGGAGGAGAGAGCCTAAGATTGTATCTGTTACAACATCCCACTCCAATATCCTCAAGAATAAGTGCACTACCTAGAAAAAGCACACATGTCACAACGACTACAATAAATTAGAGTTCAAGGTGCTGACCTTCCCATTAGCAACAGTTTCATTGCAGGAAGTTTACTCATCGAAGGAAGATATCCAGTGCTTTGAATCCTGCCTATTTGAGAACCAGATTGGATTAGTGAGAAGGAAGGGTCTCAGTTTCTCATTCTTATGACCTGCCTCTAGAGGTGCTGACCAGGATCTGAACAGGAAATCTTTATTTACCTCACTCTTGGCTCAGAGGAACAAAGATCCTTTGGGGAAGAAGTAGAGTTGGTTGTTAGAAGGAAGTAGGTCAGGAGCAGGGAGAAGTACCTTTAAAGGGTAGGAAATGACTGTACTCTGCCCTTAACATAGTTCCTAGACCTTTGGGGTCTGTATCTGGAGTCCTGTGGGTGATTGTCCAGGCAGGTCATTGCCCCACTAGTAAAGTCCATTCATTACATGGTATCACAAGGATGAGTAGCACCCTTGGTGTTTGAGTAATCACTCCAGGGCTCCCTCTCCTCCATCTTCAACCTCTGCCTCAAGGAACCAACCCCAAAGACGTGGTTTTCCCAGGCCGGTTTCCTCAGTTTCTTTTCAGGAAAGGAAAGGAAAGGGAGAAGAGGAGAGAAAGCATTCAAGATTCCTGGAGAGTCTGTGTCAGCAGGTAGGGGAGGAGCTCTGCAGAAGAGAGGTGCAGCAGTGGGTGAGCCGTGGTAGCATACAGTGGGCAAAAGGGCAAAGCCGTGGCTTTACCTGGGCCCTGCGTGTCTGAGAAGGGCTCTTCCAGTGCCT